CATCGTCGTCATTTTCGCTTGTAATACTATCATCGCCGTTGTTGTTGTTGTTGATGTTGTTGTTGATGTTGTTGATGTTGTTGTTGATGTTGATGTTGTTGTTGATGTTGTTGTTGTTGATGTAACTTCGGCAGATATGACTGATGTCGTTTCGATTTTTGTGTTGGCGTTTGAGGTTTTTGTTTTTGATTTGTACTTTGTTGTTGTTGTTGTTGTTGTTGTGTAGTTTGTTGATGTTGTAGTTGATGTAGTTGTAGTTGTTGTTGGCGGCTGAAGCACTTGTTGAATGGGATTCCGATGAAAACCGTGGAGATATGATTTTTGCTGCAAAGTGAAATATTACTCGCATAAGCGCGATCGTTATCATAACCATCTTCCCCCTTTTCTTCATCATTATCATCGCCGCCATCATCGTCATCATCGTCGTCGTCGTCATCATCATCATCATTCACCCACCATGAGCTCTCTCGAATCTATAGACGGCTTCGAACCCGGCACCTCTGTACTTATCATCGTTAGATCGGAAGCTCACCCTGAAAAAACCTCCCTCTGATTGGATGGGCCTAATAATGACGTCATCATCTTTCGACCTACTTCCGCACAGACGACTGGACTTTCGGTCCGGCAGAACGTTGAAGCTGGAAAACTCGATGTAGTCGCTCTGCGTTGAGTCCGTGCATCTGTGTCGTGACAGTCCAAACAAACAACAATTCAATATTCAAGCATACATAAACAGCACACACACATACATACAAACATTTAAACATATACAACACACACACACACACAAACATTTAAACATACACAACACACACACAAATATTTGAACATACACGCACAAACAAACATGCAAACATACATCTGCATGTGTTGAAGTGGCCAACTAGGAATACATAGAAGAGCATGAAATCGTGATCAAAGAGTAAATAACACGTAAATATAACTTACACCTACACGTATCTCCCTACATTCAAACAAGTGCATGCTCTCTCTTTCTCTCTTTCTCTCTCTCTCTCTCACACACACACGCACGCACACACACAAACACGTAGGTGATACACACATGCACACAAACACATGCACATACACAAACAAAATCACAATTATGTAGGTTAATTATATAGAGGGTAATCAAAATGACGACCAACATTACTCACAAAATATTACTCACTATTCGTCGCCTCTCTCACTTTCTCTTTCTTTCTCTCTCTCTCTTTTTCTCTCTTTGTCACTTTCTTTCTCTCTCTCTCTTTCTTTTATTTCTTCCTCACTGAAGTCATCGTGTGACGTCACGTAGATCCCACGCAATGATTTTAAAGAAGGGAGACGACACACGATGATGTACAATTTTCGTCAGAGGCTCGCGCGTGTACACCATAAGTGCACGCCGCACATATGTACGGTTGATTGATCGCATGTACGTAGACAAGTGTGTATGTGTGAGTGTATGTGTGTGTGAGTGTATGTGTGATTTTGAGTGTGTGTTCTTATGTGCACAAGTTTTGTATATGTGTGTGTATTTGTGTATATATATACAAGTGTAATAAATGTGTGTCTGGCAGCGAACTAAAGTATCGTGTTTGTGTATATATAAGCGTCTGTCTGTTTGTACACATCCTGTAAACGCTTGCGGGTATGTGTGTATATGTATGTATATATATATTTATAAGTGTTTATGTGTGTATTTTTTGTGAAGATTAAGCAACATTTTGGTATATGAATACAAAAGCACCTACCTTGGAGATACCCCATCAATGTCAAAATCGTTGAATACTATGATGACTCTCTCATCGAAGCTCCCTCTAAACAAATAATTACATTCCATCCCTGGCGGGTACATCCCAGGATAGTTCGGTGACGTCAGAGAACCGTTCACCGAAACTGAACTACGGTATTCGAATGTACAGCCTGTGAGGTATTTTCTTCAAGTTTTAAAATAGTATTTTGTGTTGTGCGTGCGTGTGTGTGTGCCTGTGTGTGTGTGTGTGTGTGCATGTTTACGTTGAAATGTCTTTAAGTTTTATTTTTTTTAGAAAGAATGATTGTGATTTATTTGTGAGGATCGCAAAAGAGTGAGCGAGATTAAAGGGAAAAATGTTTTCTGAAATTTGAAAAAAAAAAATGTTGAAAAAAGTTTTGTGAAAAAAGCGCGAAAAAATGTTCTTAACCACACACTCCTGTCTTCTTATTCACACACACACACGTTATGAAAAAATAAAAAAAGAAAGAGAGGAAGAGAGGGAGGAAGAGAGAGAGGAAAAAAAAGAAAATGAGAAATAATGATAGGAAGAAAGAATAAAATAGAGTGAATAAAATGATAGAGCCAAAAGGAAAAACTAAACTTTACAAAAAATTTTTTTCGTCAAAAATTTGATACGGTGAGTCTGAAACAATAAACTAGAGAAATAAAATGAAGATTGGAAGATTGAAAGAAAGAGAGAGAAAAAAAGAGAGAGTGAGAGAGAGAGTGAGAGAGAGAGAGAGAGAGAAAGAAAGCAACACATCTATTACTTCTATCTCTAGCTTGGATTCCGTTCGTTTTGACCAAGTAATCTGCAGCGGAAAAAAATTAATAAATTCACAATTAGTGAAAATTTTGTAAAAAATAGAAAGAATGAATAAATGAATGAATGAATTAATGAATGAAGGAATGAAGGAATGAAGGAATGAATAGAAAGATAAACAGACGGTGGAATGTATATTACAAATATAACGATGAATGAATAAATAAATGGACAGATGAATTAACGAATGATTGAATGAATGAATGAAGGAATGAATGATTGAATGAATGAATAATTAAATAAATAAATAAATATTATTATTAATATAATAATAATAACAATAATAATAAATTAAATAAAAATCCATCAATCAAGAGACCTGTCGTAAAGCTGAAATAAGCTTCGAAACCGTATATACCAGACGAGTCCATTTTATTATTATTATGACTATTACTACTACTACTACTACCACCACCACCACCACTACTACTACTACTACTACTATTACTACTACTACTACTATTACCTTTGCCAGTACTGTCAAAATTATTAATACTACTGCTACTATTGACGTGGTTATTGCTGTTGTTGTTATAAGTACTACTGCCTCTACTACTACTACCACCACCACCACTACTACCACTACTACTACCACCACTACTACTATCACTACCACTACTACTTCTACTACCATCACTACCACCACTACTACTACTGCCACGGCCACTACTGCTACTTGTGGCGGTAGTGGTAGCAGTAATTACGATAAGAAGCTCCATGTTGCTCTCCCTGGTCATGATGCTTTGAGGAATGTTTGCTTGACAGCCACAGAAAATATTTAGCTCACGCCTCACGCCAATTTCCTCGGAGAAGAGTATTCTCACGTGGTTCTGTTCCTCACAGCTGGTTATGATTGTAGTTGTGGTGGGTGTTGTGCTGATGATGATGAGGGTGATGATGATGATGATGAGGAAGGTGATGATGATGATGATGAGGGTGATGATGAGGAAGGTGATGATGATGATAGTGATGGTGGCCCTGATGAGGGCAATGGTGGTTATGATGTTGACGGTGAAGTTAATTCTGACAGTGATGATGCTGATGATGATGCTGATGATGCTGATGATGACGATGACGATGATGACGATGATGACGATGATGACGATGATGATGATGACGATGATGATGACGATGACGATGATTATAGTTGACGGTGGTAGCGAAGCTAAAATGATAACAATAATAAACAACAAACATACTCCAACAATTCATCATTCTCTTCCTTATCTTCTTCGTCATCATTATCAAGATCTGTACCGTCATTAATACTGTTACTACTACTATCTCTACTACCACTACTGCTTCTACTACTACTACTACTGCTGCTACTGCTACTGCTACTACTACTGCTGCCACTAATGTCCGTATTGTCGTTATAATTTCTGGTTTGCATGCAGAATGATGTAAAAGTTAACACAACCCTCTCGTCAGTTTGACCTCTGAAGAGAATCTTCAAGGTCAAAAACTGTGGTTCAAGGTCACGATAGCGATAGGTTATTGAACCGCCTTTAGGGTAGGCTATGCTGGTGATGATTGCGCCGTTATACGATGATGGTGATGAAGACGACGACGACGACGATGATGGTGATGATAGATAAGATGATGAAAATGACAAAGATGACGAAGATAATGATGACGAAGATGATGATGAAGAGGAAGATGATGATGACAACGATGATGATGAGGAGGAAGATGATGATGACAACGATGATGATGAGGAGGAAGATGATGATGACAACGATGATGATGAGGAGGAAGATGATGATGACGACGATGATGATGACGGCTTTGACGACAAAGACGACAATTGCGTTTGGATATTGTTGACGTTGTTGCTGATTACAAGGTTTTTATAACCATCGTCTTCACTGTTATTCTCATCGTCGTTCCTGAGGTTGTTGTTGTCGCTGGTGTCTTTATCGATGTAAACTGAAAATGATTGGGTGATGTTTTGCAAAGTGCTAATATCCACATCATCTCATGATACTCACCAATGATAACCATATATGGAATAATACTAATTATAACTAATTATAAATAATAATAGTTTATAAATAACAAAAATTAATATGTATTGATTCTCTACAATGATTAAATAATATCGAATTCGTAACGGTATCTCTGTTATGGTAGATAGAAAGATACATGAATACATATTATTATGCATGTAGGTATGCGTGTTGTTATGTATGTATGTATCTGTGTACATGAGTATGTATGTATGTGTGAATGTGTGTATGTATATGTGTATGTGTGTATGTACATTTTCCCATATCTTTTTTCTGACAGCTAAACTGTCAAATTTTTAAAAGGCTGTTACAGATTTCCATCTAGAATTATAAGAAGATTGTGTGTGCAAAACCTTGTATGTATGTTTTGTATTTGTATGTGTGTGTGTACGTATGTATGTACGTGTTTGTGTGTACGTGTGTATGTTTGTGTATGTGTATGTATGTTTGTGTATGTATGTTTGTGTGTTTTATAGTAGTCGTATTTATGTGTGCATGTAGGATTATATCAACGTATTTATTAGGCAATATTTTGTAAGGATTATTTTGTTTATTAGCAATTTTTTGTAAAAAAATTATCTATGTACGTCTGCTTGTGTGTTTGTATGTATGTATGTGTGTTTATATGTATATATGTGTGTGTTTGTATGTATGTATGAGTGTGTGTTTATATGTATGTGTGTGTTTGTATGTATGTTTGCGTTTGTATGTATGTGTGTTTATATGTATGTGTGTGTTTGTATGTATGTGCGTGTGTGTTTATATGTATGCATGTGTGTAGTTGTATAAAAGTGGTTTTATTTGACTTGTTTTTTTTAGAAAAAAGAGAGTTTCAATTCATTGTCGTGTTCACACGCATGCAATTTCGTCATAAATATGAAACCAGAGATACATGAAACCAAAAATGACATCAACTACATCAACGACAACATCTGCAACATCAACAATATCGGCAACAACATCAACTACACCAACAACATCAACAACATCAACAGCAACACCAACAACAACAACATCATCAACAACAACTACAACATCAACAACAACATTATCAACAACCTAGAAACAAAACAACATCATCATAATGTCATCATACAAAAACATCAAATCGTCACCAACGGGAATAAACAAAAACCATAGAACAAAAAACAAAGAAAAATGAGTGCTTGAATAATTCAGTTTATTTCATTTTTATTCAATTTAAAGTCAATTTAATTAAATTTAATTCAGTTTTAAATCTCCCGCCATCTTCATATTATGATTTCAAAAGCTGCCTCATAATCACGACCTTAAATAAGACTTTGTGTGAGCCTTGCCAGCCACTGATAAACACTAACACAACCACACATACATACAAACATACATACAGACATATATACAAACATACATACAGACATACATACAAATCTATATACAGACATACATACCAGCATACATACCAGCATACATACCAGCATACATAAACACATTATTAACTAAAAATACACACACACACCACACACACACAAACAAACACACAAACAGTAGAACGCATCAAACTTTAATGACCCACACCTTCCAACACACCTACCTCACATACACTCTTGAATAATATATCAAGGGATAAATTTGAACTTATTCAAGCAAACAAGCGCTTGTAATAAACAAAACACAAACATACAAACACACAGACGTACAAACAGATCTGCGAAAAACACAAACCCACAAGTACAACACACAAACATAACCACACAAACACAAAATGTACATCCTACATTGACGCTGGCACGCGAACCTGCATGGAGACAGATAATGATAATGATACGATACGAAACGAACCGACAGGAAACGAGACATGATGATATGACGTGATTATTTACACAGAGGCATACGTATGTGTAGTACGCTTCGCTGCTTCAGAGGCACTCTATTAAAACGTACAACATTGTACAGACGGGGGCTTCTGTTTTACGTCAAACATACGTACACAAACTTTAATTTGCAAATGAATGTACGTGTGTTTGTGTGTGTGTGTTGTGTGTATGTGTGAGTGTGTGTGTTTGTGCTGTGTGTGTGAGTGTGAGTGTGTGTGTTTGTGTTGTGTGTGTGTATGTGAGTGTGAAAAATGTAATGCAACTTTTATTTCAAATTGACTTGGCTTGCGTTGGAACCCGGTCAAAATGTAGTGAACGAAGCGAGTCAACAGCATTAAATAGATTAGATTTCTCTTGTTGTGTTCATCACCTTACATTCCCAAACAAACTCCCAGAAGATATATTGAATTAGAGAGAAAAATATACAACACATATGTGCACTAACACAATGCATATATGTATGTATGTGTTTGTGTATATGTATATGTATGTGTTTGTGTGTATGTATGTGTGTATGTGTGTATGTGTGTATGCATGTATATTTGTAGGCCGGCTTATAATATTATGTATTTTCTCATTCATGCATACATTCGTAAACGAATTTCCTTGTTTATATATACACGTTAAGCGTTCGTTGGTGGCTTGTTGTGGTCTTCTTAGCTGTTGATGTTGTTGTTGATGGTGTTTTTGTTGTTGTTGTTGTTGTTTGCATACTTGTTGCCATCAACAAATTCTATTGAGAATAGCACAGTACTGATTAGTATTGTGAAGCCTTTTGTGATGTTGTTGCTATTGTTTAATCGTTCCTGTTGTTGTTGTTGAGTTGTTGTTGAGTTGTTGTTGAGTTATTGTTCTTTTTGTGTTGTGTTGCTGATTTAATTACTGATGACAGTGCAATTGCTAATATCTGTGTTGATATTTCTTCCACTCATCTATGAAAACATGAAACCAATTGAAGTTTCCCCTTACACGGTGTAACAGCTGTCTCGATTAACATTAATAAATACTTTTCAACGAATTATTGATAAATTACAAATAGCTCTAGGTTTTTCTGAGTGTTTCTCGATATTTCTG